AAGGAATAGAGGGATTTGTTCTAATTGTGTTTGTAAATAGGATATCATGTCTGCATCTTGTACAACAAATAACCACTAGGAAGGCAGCATGTAATGTGTTAATTATTGGAACTGTCCTACCAATTTGATTTGAAACTGTCTCATTGCTATTTATTTCTGAATAAAATTATGGAAAAAAAACTAAGTTAAATTTTGATGCTATTTGTGCATTAATTTGGGTAATTTATGAAAATACTTCTGAAAATCACATAAAGCAATCTGCCCCTGCTCATTGCAGCCACACATGATCTTTGATTCTCCCTGCTGAAATTATCTTTCTTACTATTAGGAAATGCTGGAAAATGTGTGCCTGAAGTTCTTTTCTTTTTTTTTTTTAATTTTTTTATTCATTTAATGAGAAAAAAAATAAAACAGCAATGAAGCAGTTTCAAATTGGTTAGTAGGACAGTTACAATAATTAATACATTGCTTATTGTTGTCTTCATAGTAGTTGTTCAGAGGATAAGATTCAAACATGATATCTTGTCTAAGCAATAGAACACCCATCTCTGATAAAACAAAGCAAAAAAGGAGGATATAAATAAAGGACCATCTCATAATGAAAAAAATATGTATATACAAAATAGATAGGATAGATACACAGCTACTTTCTCTTAGTTCAATGAGAAGAAAGGTTTGTACTAATATTGTTTAGACAAGATATCATGTCTGAAGTTCTTTTGAACTGAGGACAAATCATACAGATACAAAGATTTAAGTATTTGAGTTTTTAATCACAGTATTTCAAAAAAATTTAATTTAAAAAAGCAGTAATATAAAATTAAGCAAATAGGCTATTTTATAGAATATGAATCATTCAATCATTCATATATCATTCAGTTATTTGAATACAATCATTTTCAAATAATACATAACCACAGAAAAATGTTCACTATAGTTTCCCAGGGAAAAACAACAAGGAATAAAATTATACATAAAATATATGATTCAGTGACTGGAATCATATTAAGTAAATATTGTTATAAAAAGAACAAATATTCCTTGAAGTGAGATTATTGAGAGTTTGGTTTTAAGGGATGACTCCTGAGAAAAGAAGTTGGCTTTTATTGGACAGAGGGCTGGGCCGCATTAAGCAGAACATTTTTCCATGTAAAGATAAATATGGTCAACGACACAGCACAACCCAAAGTTTCAGATGTGATTGTTACAGTTTGTCTCTAGGTGTTCCGCCACAGCCTCATTCAGTCATGGGGCAGACTTCTAGAGTTTGTGATTAACTCGTGATCCCTGGGATTATGGGTCTGAGTACTGCTGGGATTATGGGTGTGTGTGCTGCACCCAACCGGGGCAGATAGCCTGAAACTAGCAAAAGGGAGACAGACTTGCTCTCTGTTGCCATGGTTGCCACTACTCCAGTTTGTTCTTGCCCTCTGCTCTTTGTTGCCACCATGAACAGTTGCTCTCTGCCATGTGCCACACTGCCTTGGAGCCAGCCGAGTATGGACTGAAACCTCCAGTAACTGGGAGCTAAATAAATCTTTCCTTCTTTCATTTGGGTGTTGGGCATTTGTCCCAGCAAGGAGAGAAGAGTAACTGAGGCAGTGATGAATCTAGAACACGGGGCAAGCAGAGTGTGTCTGGAGAGATGATTGGAACCAGAGGGATCAGCACTACTCCTGGTAGCACCACTTCTGGCACCCCCACAGCCTCCACTGCCATCTGCGGAAGAGCGCCTATGCCCTTGGAAGTGCACAGAAGACATCCTTCCTGTGTGTCAGCCCCCCTTGGACTTGGAACAGCATCCTGCACCATGTAGGCAGGATTTTGAGGTGTTCCTCAGGTACCTTCCATGATAGCAAACAGAAGGCTCACCAGCTATACCTACATAAGCCTTTACTGGTCCAGGTGCTTATCTTGTCTGAGAGACTGGGAAAGCAGCTCTTGACAAAATCCTCGAAGGTCACAGTTGCTAAGGCATTGATGCTGGCGGCCACAGTGCTGCAGGGAGAGAAGAGCAAGAACATGGTCCAAACTCTGCAAGGCTGAGCCACCAGCTGCCATCTCAATGGACCTGGCTGGGCTCTGGGCAAACAGGGACAGACACAAGTCCACATTCTGGGTCTGCAGGTCCCCATGGGGGCTGTCCGCTCATTCATCAGGGCTTCTGTGCTAATGCTCTTTCAGTTCATCCCATGAAGCTAGGCTTTCATGGCCTGATTCCTATGAATTCATCTGAACATGTAATTCATAAGTTAGCAGAGGGTAGCAGGATTATATGCTTGTGCTGAAGTTGGAATAAAAGTGGGAAGTAGAGACCACCCTAACCCAGCAGTCAGTAGAGTCTGTTATTCATTAATAGTCAATCTCTTCATGCATCCTTTTATAATCATTCCAGGTATAAAGCATCGTACAATGGTAACCTGGCAAGTCATCAATCTTATACTCTAAAATACAGATTTTTCACTGTTTTAAAAGTGTATTTATATGAGATAATCAACATAGAAGTTATTTAAAAAAGAAAAGAAAAAATCAAAATACTTACAAATATTATTATTTGAATAAAATCAACTAAAAATAATTAAGAGGAAAAAATCTAGATGTCAGAAAAATTCTGTAAAAGAACACTAATGCGCAGGTACAAACCTCTCAGAAATCAGGTCACATTTGAAAGTATGACTGATACATTACTGAGCTTGTCATAGAGGGAGACCGGCAGGTCAAAGGAATGTAGAAGTGAATCCTCAAATTTTCTCAAATACATAGAAGAATATGAAATGTAATCAAAGTAGCATTTCAAGCCGATGGTGTGTACAGCAAGGCCATGGCTGTGAAGCTGTCCCTGCCCTCGGGTTTCCATTCAGCTCGATGAGCCCCAGATGCCAGCTTCAAACCTTATGACCTAGTGTTTTCTCAACTGGGTCTTGGTCTTGCTGTAAGCCAAACACTATGATTTTCCTATTCCTCCCTTTTGAAATAGAAATAAATACCTTGAGTCAGCACCTTGGAAGTATGTGACTTTTTTTTTTTTTTTAAACTTGGATCACAGCTGAATTTGCTTTGGGTCTCAGCAGATTTTGGACTTGGACTTCTGAGCAATGTTGGCACATTTAAGATGCTGAGAACCTCTGCCCTGGAATCAATGTGCTCTACCTTGGGAGATGGACCTCACTCAGCCTTGGGGAGCAGAGATAAGGTGCTACAGTTTGGATGTTGAATGTCTCCTTGGTTCTGTGTGTCACAGGCTTAGTTTCCCAGGTGGTGCCACCGGAAGATGGCAGAAGCTTTGAAAAATGTGCTGTAGTGGAGAGACCCTAGGTTGTAGGAAGCATGAGCCCAAAGAGGTTGTGAATCTGACTTCCGGTCTCTCTCTTCTACTTCCGGTGTCATGAGGTCAGCGGCTTTGCCTTGCTAGATGCACCTGCCAATGGCTGCTGATTCTTCATGGCTTGGAAGCTCCAAACACTAGGAGCCAAGATGAACCTTATTTCTTTATATGTGAATTGCCTCAGATATTTAATTATAGTGATGGAAAAGTGACCAATTCAGCAGTAGGGAAGTTTGAAAAAATATGCAAAAAGTTCTAGAGTAGGGACAGGGCTGGGCTTTCATGCTGTCACAGCCGTTTTCTACCTCCTTCTGGATACACTCTCTACCTGCTAAATCTCACTGTCCTTACACTGAAATGATTGTGTATAAATTTCAGTCTCTTATGCTGTATGACAAGTAATAAGCAAACATAGATAAAGTGCTCAGCACAGAAGCTGACAAGTGCTCTGGGACACTGATCATCACAACCATCCCCATCAAGGGCATTGTCATGATCATTGTGTTGCCAACATACTAACCTCAGAGTCCCACTGAAGGCACAGGCTACAAAAAGTCCTGGGAGTCCTGGCATTTTGTCAAATATTTCCATCACAAAATATGGCATCAGCTGGTGAGGAAGCAGAGAGGGGGTGGAGAGAGAATCAGTGGTTGTCTTAGCAGAATCTAAAAGATGGAGACGTAAATTTTTAGCAACAGGAGATAGGAATTTATTTTTCTTATTTTTCAACATCCAACATTGTTAATCTGTTTAATCTGAATTTAGCACTTAAAGCCTTAAAAGTGCCTGAGATGGGTTTTAGGGAATTGAAGTGTAGTTGTTGCTCTCTGTCCAAGGCCATAGAAGGAAGGCTCCGCCAGACAGAGCTGGACAGCTGCAGCCAGCGCTGGGCAGGACGCAGTGACCTTTCCTCCTGAGCACACTCTCAGCCAATGGAGTTGTAAAAGCACATTTAATTCAGGACAGCAACAAAAGGCTTAAGCTGTGCTGGGAAAATAAGAGCACAGGGATTATGGACATCAGGAATGTTTATTCCATGTTAGACTGCAGCAGAGTCACAGCCTGGAAGTTTGTAAGCAGTGTGCGGTGGCACTGGCACCTGAAGCTAGGAGTGCAAGCCTACCTTGTGCTCTTTGCTGCCCTGACCGGCCTTGAGACCTGGACTCAGGGCAAAGTGCAGCTCCTTCCCTTTACCTTTTTTTCTCCTTGTGGTGTTAGAGATCAAACCTGGTCCCTTACACTTGGTAGGCAGCAACTCATTCGGCAGCCAATACCGCAGTCCCTCGAGGTTCACCCTTCACACACACACACACACACACACACACACACACACACACTTCCCCTGTTACAACCCACTGTGGGCAACATCACCCAAGAGCAGAGGGAAGAAGCCAATGCCTTGGAGTTTGAGATCTGACTAGAGGCAGAGACAGAACATGGGAAGGCCTCAGTATCACCCAGCCATGCCCAAAGCTCCACTGCACCCAAGGAATGCATACCTGGTCCGGGGCTGAGATCATGCCAGAAGTCCAAGGGTCGCAGTCTTTAAAATAGGAATACATGATTAATCCCGAGAAGACCGCACACACCAGGATGATCCAGAGGCCCAACAAGTTAAAGTACAAGGCACTAGAAAAGAGTACATGGACCCATGAGCAGCCTCTGTGGCATGTTGTCATATAGCGATGTCAAGTTTTGGGGCCCCTTTATTTAGCTTTCATGAATCATTATATTTTATACTTTTGCATTTGGGGAGTATATTACATTTTAGACTAATTACCAAAGTCAAGAAAAGTAGTGTTTTAGATGAATTTTATTTTAAAATGGAGAGGGTTTTTTTTTTTCTTTTACAAGACCTCACTATGTGTGATATGAGATCTATTTTCTTGGATAAAATTTCATATACCCATCACTCACATTATATAACTTGAAGTGATTTCCCCCCACCCACTGAATTCGTGGAGCTGTCAAAAAGCTGAATTACATTTTAGCATCTTTTCTTCCAAAGAGATAATGAGATACTACAGAAATAGCCCAGTTATGGAAATACTGCACTCACTTTGGAAATTAATTCAGAGAAATTAAAGTTGCATTTTTAACAGCAATAGAAAGTATTCAAGACTTAAGATTACTTTTGTATTTTAGGGAAGGGTCTACCCGTATGATTTGGAGCAATTCATTTCTTTCTACAACACACAGGCATTTATAATTCTAGCTGGGTAACTTTACAGTATTTTGTTTTTATTTTCTATCCATTTCATCCTTTAACAGCCAAAATCCTACCCCAAGGAAGATTTGAAAGTAGAGAGATTTTTTTAATTTCTTTTTATTTTTATGTTTTGAAAGTAGAGAGTTTAAAGAAGCCTAAGAGCATAAACAGTGTCTCTGGGGAGAGAGTCCCGGGATCAGCAAGGTCCTCTGGGCACTCCCCACCCCCGCCCCCGCCCCCTGCTCAGCCTGCCACGAGGGCGGGGCTGGCGCTGCTTGTGGTGCAGGGGTCCCCCGAGCCTGCGACCACCGAGCCATCTCACGCCCGGCCTGGGCACTTTCTTGAATCCAGTCATTGCCTGAAGGACACAGGTGCACCTACGTTCACATGCGAGAGCAGACCCTCGTCCAGAGCCGCCTCTCGCCTGTACTGTAAGGAGGACCCGAATGACACAAGAACCTTAACTCGAAATCGAGCTTTAACAAACAGCATGTTTGATAAGTAGTCTATGGATGAGCATTTTTATTTTTCATTTTCAAAAAGCTTTATCATCCCAAAATTTACTTCCTTGGAAGTATTCTGACAGCCTGGAGCTTTCTTTGTTCTTGCATGCTGGGGTTTGGGAATAACTTGCTACCCAAAATGATCAGTGCCTTTTATATCGCTAATCGTGCCCAGCATTGATCATCTCGGGGCAAATTCCACACAAAGCCATGCTGAGATCTGCTCTGGGAGAAGCCTTCCTGACCATCCTTATCGGAAACAGTCACTTGCTAGACTTAGGAAAACCTATAGAAAGGTTTTCGTCATGATAGCATTTGTCATGAGATGCAACAGTATGATGTCTTTATTGTCTATTATTCATTTTTGCAACAAACCAACACAGGACTGCATCCCCAGAATACAGCATAAAGCTGACAGACAGAAGATATTAATTCATTTTTGCAAGAAATGATGGAATGATTAAATGCATTAATTAATGAATGATAGAAAATCTTTGCAAGATGAGTGCACCAGTTGTTGTAGTTATGTTTTGAAAAGAGTTTTGGACTTGGAGTCTGCGTTTGATACTGATCGACTGTTTGGTCATGGACGAGTGACCTGACCCTCTGACTCAGGGCTTCATCCATAAAACAGATGGCCACACACCGGCTGCGCTTCTTATTATAGCGCTAACATGAGAACAGAATGAGTTACACTCTGCAAAATAGATGGAGGGTACATAGGCATCGAGAGGACATGCGTGCGTTATTTAAAATCAGTGATACCATTATGCCTAAGATGTTTGAAATGCAGTGAGATAGTGAGGTTAAGCTTGATAGCCTAAATAGTTTGATAATAACAATAAGCTTGTCTTCTGGATGGTTAACAACCTAAGTTTGCAGACCAAAATTAGAGAAAAAGGAGGGATACAAGGAAAGCCAACATTTTGGCCCTAGCCTTCTAAGGTCAATTAAGACTCAGGACATATGAGAACTTGAACTGTAATGTCATTTACCTCGGTAGTGTCCCAAATTTTCCGATCAAGAAGATTATGGGGCCAAAGAGGATAGTGATCGATGACATAGAGTGTGCCTAAGGAGAGTCACATGGGGAGAAGACACTCTCTCAGGCTTTCACAGAGAGCACGATGGCCAAGCAATGGCCGTGACTCATCCACATGGCTGACACTGACAAAGGTTCTGCAATCTGAGGTACAGGATCTCAGGACAAATCCTGAGGGCATTTCACTGACCTTCTCAGACCAAAAAGCTACAACTCTTGTTGCACAGGTCCTGCTTTACCTTGGTCTTAACCATCCAGTAGAAAAGTATGAAGACGAAATATAGGAAGTAAAGCCATGTTGTTATGTTGAGCTGTGGGGGACTCAGGTCAATAATTTCTGACATTGCCAGTTAAACAGAAGACCCAATGCTATTATGGGCTACTGGACTCTTTTAGAATATTTTGCTGAGTTTACACACCTATAATATTCAATAACGGAACTTTTAAAAATGGGGTATAACTATGAATGTCCATTTTGTATCTGTGTATTCAAAGTGGTTGGGATAGATATATAGTTGCATTCTCTTAATGAATAGAATGATTTTTTCTAATGGTGTTTGTAAATAGGATCACAAGTCCACTTCTTGTACAGCAATTAACCACTAAGAAGAATATATGCAGAGTATTATTTGTTGAAACTGTACTTCTGATTTGATTTGAAACTATCTCATTGCTATCTGTTTATCAATAAAACTTTGAAAAGAAAAAAATATAAACAACTATGAGTCACGTCAAAAATAAATAAATAAATAAATAAATAAATAAATAAATAAAATCAGTGATACCATTTTACCAGACCACCATGGAAGATGAGAAGTTAGTGATGAGATTATGCAGTGTTGGTAATTGCAGTTTTAAACATTTTTCACTGAAATTAGTTTTTTATTCTATGCACAGCTACTTCTCATATTTGTAAAGAGTGTCACTTCACTAATTCATTAAAAATATGTATTGGATGTCTGTGTCTATCGGGCCCAGTTCTAGGTTCTGTAATATAGCAAGGATCAACCTAGAACCCATCCTATTCCGAGACTGGAGACATGGGAAAAACACTGACATGAAAGACAAGATGACTTTAGATATGAGACTTATGAGGAAAATAAGCTGTGAGAAAGGGGAAAATCAAAGGCCACTGCGCGTGGATGCGTCTGGCCCAGCTAGAACTGCGTTCCGCCAGCATGGTGGCCTACAGAACCCCTCCACCGCCACTGTGTGGGGTGCACTATCTACTATGAAAAGCCCTGAAAGGAGAGCTTAGGCCTAGACACCAACAACGCATTTAAGTGCCTCTCCAGGCATAAGGGAGATCTGGCCGCAGATAAAGTTGCTTGGGTGAACAACAGGCATTTTTGGTCCTGAAGTTAGCTGCAAACGGAACAACCCACTCCTGGTTTCCCCGATGGCCAGAGTCATTAGCAGTTTTACGGATTTATTTTCACTGACCTACATTCAGAATGTGTTTCCCCAAGTAACAGAGTACAGTTTTGTTTTGTTTTTTGCTCCAGGGTCCAAAGGAATGCTTTGATTATATTAGAATGTGAGATAGCTAGATAGCGAAGCAAGGGCAGAATGGCTTGGTCAGCATTCTGCAGACCCTACTGGGTGAGAGTTCACGCTGACTAAGAGCGCGCCCCAGCCGTCCAGGAAGTGTCCTTGGGCTGCAGTTCTGTGACAGATAAATCTCACACAGTCTCCTCCCTAGGAGAGCAGGTGCTCTTGGCTGTGCCGGCCTTTCCCTTCCCTGGCCTGTGATGAAGTCACCTTACCCCTCTCCAGGAAAGCTTTCTAAAAAGTGTTTATATTTTATCTTTTCTCACTCTCAAAAATGTTCAATCATAGCTCTGACTTTGGGATAAGAACAGGGATTGCTGCAACCCGCAGGAACAAACTTAAATGCCTTGGACTACATGCACATTACTGTCTGCATGACCATCTCTCCTTTGCTGCCAATTTTCATACCCATGCGATTTATAATGTATCAATTAGCAAACTGCAAGCATCTGGGTGACTTTGTATTGATGTTTTGCTTGAAGCAAATTAGCTTATTTAATAATGTTTTGAGATTTACACAGAAGAATATATGTGCATGCATACAGCCACACACACACACTCCTCCACAAGTGTGTCCAGGTGCAGGTGCACACACAAGCACGGCCTCCCTAAAGCATCGTTTTGTTCAGTGAGACAGGAATACTTAACAGCACAACGCATTAATCTTAACATTGTGAAGCAAAAGGATAAAAAAAAGACATGATTCTGACCTTTCAGGCCCTGAAGTATTAGTAGGAGAAACTGAAGCATATTTACAAGGAAAAGCAATATAAGTTTGTGAGATTAAAGTAAAACTAGATTTAAAAGCTGAAAATATATCTTTTTATATACTGAGGATAATTTGAATAACTGTACTGCTGATTTCTTCTGGTTTTTTGAAAGGAGCAATTAATCCTTAATTTTTTTTCTTTCTATTCTTATCTTTTTTCTCTTTTTAATTTCTCATAACTTTTATGTTGTTGTTTTGCTTTGCTATTTTTAAAAAAACATTTTTGCACATTTATACCTGGTAACCAAGACTACCAATTTGAAGATAACATCATGCAATATAGTAACAATTGTTGTTCAATTCCTATTACTTTATTTAATAAAATTTTGAATCTTTTCTAATGCTGTTATTTATTATTATTTTGTATTTAAAAAATGAAAAAGCTGGGAACCATGACAAGCACCCATGACCCAGGTACTTGGGAGACTGAAGGGGGAAGGCCATTGAGCTTAGAGGCTCTGAGTCGGCCTTACAACCTGGCAACATCCTATCTCAAAGATAAGTGATAAAGGGCCGGCCTGAGAGCTCACTGGATTTCAGTGCCTGCTCAGGCAGACGCAGGGTCTGAGTTCTGTCCCAGCATGCTGTGCCGGCCCCACCCACGGGGTGTGCTGAGACTGCAATTGAGACTGGGCACAGTGGCCCAAGCCTGTAATCCCAGTACTTGGGAGGCTGCAAACAGGAGAATCACTACAGGTCTGATCTGTGTAGTGAGACCCTGTAGACCCTGTACATACATTTAAAATAAATAAATAAATAAATAAATAAGTGATAAATAAGAAAATATAAAT